TCCATGACGAGCTGCGGGCTGGACTGTTCGTTGCACTGGACGAGATGAGAAAGGTTTTTTCACGGGGCGGAGACTTCCTCACTCTGGAAGAGCGCAGCAAAGCCGAATATTTCAACAAGGCATGCCACGCGGCTTTGAACAGCTACTAGCCTGATATCTAAGGGCTCGAATTTGTCAAGTTGGGGCACAAAACTCCATTGCTGGAAGCTACGTCCCAAGTCCCATCAGCTACATGGAAGCAAGATTCCCAAGCCAAGTGTTGTGACTTCTCCTGTAGTCACCGTACCTTACATAATATGGGTTCGCATCCGAGGTTGGTCCTTGATTTGGCAGCTTTGTGCAACCCGATGCGGGCCACCACGTACTGCGAAGAAGATCTGGTGGGACGAGTCAAACGGCAACCTGCCTGCAGTCATCCATGTTGTCTGGGAGCCCCGTGCCCGGAAATGTAAACCCCTGAGCCTCAACATTTCGTAACGCAAGGATGGCACTGAAAGAACATCCGGCAAATCTCGGGCGAGCCGTGCTGTTGCGGTGGAGCTGGCACGTGGCACTGCGGTGGCATCTTGCGAGCAATCACGCGTGAAAAATCGAGCTCAACTCCAAACGAGAGGGGGTGGGGGTTGGGTTTTACAAGGCTTAGGGCACAGGGTTAAGGGATTAAGGCTTTCGCAGGCTCTAGGGTTCAGGTTTTCAGGTTTAGGGCTCAACCATCAGAGCGCTGGGGTTGAACAGTGTGTTCACGTCTAAGTGAGGGGTTTTACGTCTTAGCCTGCAACTGACATGTTTTTAGGGCCAGGTGCAAGAAACACCGCGGTAGGATTCTCCTGGAATTTTAGTACTTGAATTTGTTTCAGGATGATCATTCTTACAGCATTAGTACTATCATTAACACTAGTATTTTCATTATCATCAGTGTTAGTAATCTTGGTTTTCAGCACTATCCTTCTCATTATTCTATTACTGATATTGGCGGTTGTCCGGTTTGGGCCCCGGCTCTAAAACCCCGAAGTTGACAAGTGACCCCTGGAGCCCTAGGGCTCGGCTGTCAACCAGAACCCACAAACCGCAAGCCCAACAACAGGAAGTTTAGGATTCAGGGTCTTTTATAGCGTTTACGGCCTAGGTAACATCATCGCCAGTAACGGTCCCCCCCAAAATGATCCAAAGGATCATTATTCTACCTACCTCGGGGTCCAGGTAAGCCCAGCACAGGCCCAAAAACACCAAAATGCCCCGTGTGGCTTGCTGGAGGACTGTCATCAACTCGAGACTTCTACTTGGATTCCCAACCCATCAGATTTGAATGTAACCCCCCCAATACTGATCACATGATGCATAGTCTAAACTCCTAGTGTCCTGGTATCTCCCTTAATAACCCCTATAGCAGTCCCCTATATAGTCTTCTATATGACCCACTTTAAGGACTTGACTATGGCTCACATAGTGACTGGCTTAGGGTTCAAAAGTTCACAAGCAGCTCAGCGGCGGAAAAGAAGAGGAGAATCGTGTGATGCCCTCCTCCGCTGCTGGACACGTCTCAGCACCTGTCAAACTTCAAAATCTGTGTATGCTTTGCTTGGTCTTGTTGGGCACCGAGTCGTCTAACACAGGATCCTTGCCATATAGATACACGGAGACGAGGGTGCGAAAGATGCCTGCTGATATGATGCTACCGCACCTTCCGTCTTGATGGCTGTTGGCAACATGGCGCATGCAAGACCATGGAAGCGAAGACGTGGGCAAGTTCCACCGTGTTTTGATTTGGCATGAAGTCTGCGGCTGGCCGCAAGGTGTAACAAAACGGAGCGCAAGCTGGGTTTGGGAATGCGCGTCCTTACAGCTTAGTAATTAGTGACAGTTTCCAGCTTGTGCCACTTGTGCTCTTGGTGGCACCGGTTAAAACATTTGGCTCCGGCCTGGGGCCGTAAGTGCTACGGACCTGCAATCTCGCATCTAATCGCCTAATTCACCTAAGACTTGCTTCACATGCACATCTATGCTGGAAAACATTGGAAAATGAGACACAAGAAAACCACTTGCAAGGTTGACTCATTGACTATACTGCAGAAGCACTCTTGGCTTCTTAAACCAAGTAAACCATGCGAATTACTGACAAGCTTGAGCTCCCAATGTCTAATCCACGCTGTCTGCCTTTCGATCCATGAGCTCCGTTATGTGCTGCTCCACAACCTCACCTACCCAGTTCAGCATCACGGCAGTAACGTGCTGGTTCACATGAGAAAAGCCCACGGACTCCTGAATCAAGGTTTTTACTTTGATTTCATCTTCTTGGCACCAGGCTTTCGCCTTCTGTGAATCCACAGCGCTTAGCGACTCTGTAATCTGCTCGATGCCCGCATCCCCACGTCGAATGGTCTGCTGCAGGGATAAAGCAGATGATTCCGGCATCACAAATTGAACGGGAATGTCCAGCTTTGAAGCCACGAACTGCTCGAATACTGTCCAAACTCTGGACAAGTAGACTGGCTGGTGCCAGGCATCCAGAATGGCCACCATGCGGCCTATCCGCTTCAGGTTTACTTCAAAAACCTGTTCAAGGTCCGCGCTGCCTGTTGTGGATTCTTCGACCAGAATCCTGTACTGGTTGTTGATGAAGAAGCACATGAAATGGACGTTCTCCATGACCTCGCCTGCCTGGAACATGCGCAGAGCACTGGTGAGCTCGCCCAGGGTGTACCGCCATGTCCATGACATGAAATGAGTCTGCTCCCGTCGGGCTTCCCGCGGAATCCAGTCTACAAGTGCGCATCCCGGTCGTCCATCGCGCGGGCATCGTAGGTTGCTCCCGATAGGGTCCTCAGACAGCCAAAAGGCTTCTTTCATGTCTATGAAAGTTGGGTCCGCCTTGTTTGTCCGGCCCGTAGCCAGCTCCGCAAAGGTGTCTGAAAGCAAGTACTGCATGCCCACCCCAGCTCTTTGGCTTTGCACCGCAAGCATTTCGCATACTTGACCATCAATGGTCTGCTTGTCCACACCCAGCTTCTCAAGCACGGCTGTATAGCGGATGACCGTGTCGGCCTCTTCCTCTCAAAGGTCACTATAGAAGCTGTTCATAGCGTCTGCGATCTTGAACTCTCTCTTCCTCAATCTGCAAGATGCCCAGAGTCTCAGGGCCACAGCCACTCCAGCGATCACCACAGCAAAAATCACCAAGTGCCACCAAACGCACGCTCCCTCGGTTGCGATGAAAGGAAAGCCACAAGGCTGACAGACATCCGCGTTGATAGGTGCAAAGTGCTGCGGTGGACAGGCCTGGCAGCTCCCCTGATCTGGTGTAGGCACCTCGCCGGGACTGCAAAATTCGCAGTGGGAAGCACCCTTCCAGGAGAACTGATTGGATTGGCACCGCTGGCAGCCCAGCTTGTTATAGGCCGGTAAGCTCCCTGCCTGGCAAGGTGGCTTTTGGAAACTCTCTGCCCCGTCGAACATTTCATTCATGAAGAGAAGAGCGGAGGTATTCCAGAGCAAGAGGGTCTGGTTGAATGCAGAGGCACGAAAGAACATGTAGCTCATGTCAGCGACTGCCGATGTATCCCATGCCTGAACGGGCTGGTTGAAGGCAGAGGCACCATAAAACATCCAGCTCATGTCGGTGACTGCCGAAGTATCCCATGCCCCAATGGGCTGGTTGAAGGCAGAGGCACGAGAAAACATGCCGCTCATGTCAGCGACTGCCGATGTATCCCATGCCCCAATGGGCTGGTTGAAGGCAGAGGCACCATCAAACATCCGCCTCATGTTGGTGACGGCCGAAGTATCCCATGCAGTGATGTTCGCATTGAAGGTCCTCATGTCATAAAACAAACGGCGCATGTCCATCACCTTGGACACGTCCCAGTCCTCGATCCTGCCGTAAGCGCTCTCAACCTCGGTGCGGGAATCTCCACCCCGGATCCACCGCCGCACCTTCGATCTGAGTTCGGACTTGCTGCTGAAGCCGCGATGGGAGGTGCAGTGCACCAAGTACAGCACCAGGAGGCGAAGCTTCGGCATTCTGGGCTCAGCCCACGCTTCACGGCTACCTGCTTGCCAATCTTAAAAAAAGGCTGCCAACACAAGCTCACCTCGAAAGCCTACACAGCTCATCTTTGGACCATCTTCGGGATTCCCCCTCCTGCTATGCCGCATGTACACGCCCCTTTAGAAAAATCAGTCTCTCATGCGCTGCTCAGTCGCAACCTGTGCCCCCTGGCCTCCCACTCTCTGGCGTCCGGTGATAGAGTGCGGGCAACTGCACACCTGCAACTGTAGGTGCGCAAGCATCATGTCTTGTTTGCATCCAGGGGCTGTGCAAACCCGGGGGTTCTACATATAGTCGAGTTCGCTGTGGGTTGTGGCCCACTGCAAGATTCCGGGTCCCTGATGGGGGATGGTGCCAGACGAGTTCCTTCGCGAGGAAAGACCACTGCAGAACCTTCTCCAAAGCTGCTGCAGCTGGTGTGAATGTGCATGTTCCTCGGGCTCCCATTGCAGCACAAGCACCCCATGATCTCATGAGCCTACTTGAGGAGTTGGATCCTGCAGATTTCTCTATGCAATTCCATGACATGGGCCGAGTTCGCTCCTTTTGAAAGGTGGTGAGGCATCGCCTTCTCATGCCGGCCATGACAAACTTTTCGGACCCTAGTGGGATGTACTTGATCATAGGGATAATGCAAAAGGAAGTGGAAACTACTAGATTAGAATAATCTATTACGGTATGTTATAATACATCATAATAGTGACATGATGTCGGTCTATCCCTTGTGCGAAGTTCACAGGCAACTTGGTGGCACACTCGCGAATCAAGAAGACGAGCATTCTCCTCCATTGCGGGGCACGTCTCAGCCGCTGTGACAATTCGGGCAATAAAAAGAAACGTTCCCAAGGTTCGTTTCCGTAACACAATAGTATAATCGACAAACTTCCTCTGACTAGGGCCTTGCTCTTCAGTGACATATCCAAGAGGTTCTGCCCATGTACCATGGTGAACTGTAGCATTGGGCTGGTGGTGGTTGAGTGTTGCAAGCGGGCGGATTAAGTCTTAAGTCACATCACTGTACAGCCTTGGCGTGGGCCAAGGGTATTGGTAGGTTGTCGGTACAGTACGAAGCGTTATCGGTGGAATTGAAACCTGATCGAGTCGAACCAGGTATGTACACGGCGCGTATTTTCAAGGACTTTCAAGCAAAAGTTCGGCTGACCAGCCGTTCGTGTGGGAATTTACAGCATTTCAGCCTCTTGATTTCGAATATGTGTTGTCTATCACGTTTTCCATGCAGAAAAGGGACTGCGTACTGTAAAATACAGGCCAAACTCCTCTTTGGGGAGGGCCCGAAACTAATGCGAAAAGCAGCTTCGTGCTGAAAATTCCCACATGAACAGCGCGCGCAGAAAGCTTTCTCTATGCTTTTGGAGCACGAACGTTACTATGGTTTGGGCATGGATGCTCCAGGGACCGTATGCTCTTGGAACACGAACTTAATAAATTTATTATGGTTTGGGCACGGATGCTCTGGGGACCGTATGCTCCTGGAACACGAACGTTCTCATGGCTTGAGCATGGATGCTCTGGGGACCGTATGCTCTTTGAACACGAATGTCAGTATGTTTGGGCATGGATGCTCTGGCGAGGGTAGAGCGAGAGGCTGCTCTTGGAATGCGAGCAATGCGAACGTTATTATGGTTTGGGCATGGATGCTCTGGCGCGGGTAACGAGGGTATGCTCTTGGAACGCGAACGTTCTGATGGTTTGGGCAGGGATGCTCTTGTCACCGCTCTCCAACATGGACGACATTTGAGGCATGGACGCGCTCGGCAGCCAACATTGCTGCTTACGCAGAACGGGACAGCGAAATTGCTTGAAAACACACGGCAGAATACGCGCCGTGTACCAACTACCTAAGTGGAGGCTTTTTATGAAAGGGCCATAACTTTATCGACCTACCAAGCCTGAACCAAGAGGCGGGGGATTATGTCACTGCCCCAGTTGAAAATGTGTGCCTTCCTAGTTCTTGTTGGGCACCTCGAGTCTAACAAAGGATCCTCGCCACAGATACATAATGAAGCCTTAAGAAAAGCCACCGGCAGCTCAGTGGCGGACAAGCGGGGAAGAGGAGAATCGTGTGATGACCTCCTTCACTCAGCACCTGTCACAGTTCAAAGTCTGTGTCTACTTTGCTTGTTCTTGTTGAGTAGGCACAGAGCGGTCTAACATAGGATCCTCGCCGTAGATATACAGAGTATCCCAAGGCGCGAGCTATGTACTAGGATGCTGTGAAAGATGCCTGGATGACACGATGCCAGGACACCTTCTACCCCGACGGCTGTTGGCAACATGGCATGCGTGCAAGTCAAGCCGCGAGCAAGTTCCACTCTGTTTTGCTTAAGCACGGTGTCTGCGGCTAGCCGCAAGGTGTAACAAATCGGAGCGCAAGCTGGGTTTGGGAGTGCGCGCGTCCTTGCAGCTGAGTGACGATGGCAACTTCCAGCTTGCTCGACTTGTGCTCTCAGTGGCACCGGTGAACATGTTTTGGCGCAGGCCTGGGGCCCCAAGCACAAGTGACATGCAATCTAGACACTGACCTCAGAGCTGCTTCGGCAGCCCTCGGCTGGATAATGGTGGAAAATCAGACATAACAAAACTACATGCAAGGTCGACTTCTGGACCATGACTGCAGAAGCACTCTTGGCTTCGCGAACAAGTAAACCATGCCAATTAGTGGCAAGCCTGATCTACTGGTGTCTAATTGACGCTATTTGCCCTTCGACCAATGAGCTCCCGCATGTGCAGCTTCACCATTTCACGAACCCACTTCAACATCACTCTGGAAACGTGCCGGTTCACGTGAGCAAAGCCCACGGACTCCTGAATCAAGGATTTTACCTTGATTTCATCTTCCTGGCACCAGGCTTTCGCCTTCTGTGAATCCACCGCACTTAGCGACTCCGTAATCTGCTCGATGCCCGCATCCCCACGTCGAATTGTTTGCTGCAGGGATAAAGCAGATGATGCCGGCATCACAAATTGAACGGGAATGTCCAGCTTTGAAGCCACGAACTGCTCGAATACTGTCCAAACTCTGGACAAGTAGACTGGCTGGTGCCAGGCATCCAGAATGGCCACCATGCGGCCTATCCGCTTCAGGTTTACTTCAAAAACTTGTTCAAGGTCCGCGCTGCCTGTTGTGGATTCTTCGACCAGAATCCTGTACTGGTTGTTGATGAAGAAGCACATGAAGAAATGGACGCTCTCCATGACCTCGCCTGCCTGGAACATGCGCAGAGCACTGGTGAGCTCGCCAAGGGTGTACCGCCATGTCCATGACATGAAATGAGTCTGCTCCCGTCGGGCTTCCCGCGGAATCCAGTCTACAAGTGCGCATCCCGGTTGTCCATCGCGCGGGCATCGTAGGTTGCTCCCGATAGGGTCCTCAGACAGCCAAAAGGCTTCTTTCATGTCTATGAAAGTTGGGTCCGCCTTGTTTGTCCGGCCCGTAGCCAGCTCCGCAAAGGTGTCCGAAAGCAAGTACTGCATGCCCACCCCAGCTCTTTGGCTTTGCACCGCAAGCATTTCGCATACTTGACCATCAATGGTCTGCTTGTCCACACCCAGGCTCCCAAGCATGGCTGTATAGCGGATGACCGTGTCGGCCTCTTCCTCCCAAAGGTCACTATAGAAGCTGTTCATAGCCTCTGTGATCTTGAACTCTCTCTTCCTCAATCTGCGAGATGCCCAGAGTCTCAGGGCCACAGCCACTCCAGCGATCACCACAGCAAAAATCACCAAGTGCCACCAAACGCACGCTCCCTCGGTTGCGATGAAAGGAAAGCCACACGGCTGACAGACATCCGCGTTGATAGGTGCAAAGTGCTGCGGTGGACAGGCCTGGCAGCTCCCCTGATCTGGTGTAGGCACCTCGCCGGGACTGCAAAATTCGCAGTGGGAAGCACCCTTCCAGGAGAACTGATTGGATTGGCACCGCTGGCAGCCCAGCTTGTTATAGGCCGGTAAGCTCCCTGCCTGGCAAGGTGACTTTTGGAAACTCTCTGCCCCGTCGAACATTTGATCCATACTGCCAACAACGGACGTATTCCAGAGCAACAGGGTCTGGTTGAAGGCAGAGGCATCCTTAAACATTGCGCTCATGCGAGTGACTGCCGATGTATCCCATGCCCCGATGGGCTGGTTGAAGGCAGAGGCACCATAAAACATCTCGCTCATGTAAGTGACTGCAGATGTATCCCATGCCCCGATGGGCTGGTTGAATGCAGAGACATACGCAAACATGCCGCTCATGTCAGCGACTGCCGATGTATCCCATGCCCCAATGGGCTGGTTGAAGGCAGAGGCAGCAAAAAACATCCGCCTCATGTCGGTGACTGACGAAGTATCCCATGCCCCCATGGGCTGGTTGAAGGCAAAGGCACCAGAAAACATCTCGCTCATGTCGGTGACTGCCGATGTATCCCATGCCCCAATGGGCTGGTTGAAGTCAAAGGCACCATAAAACATTCCCGTCATGTCGGTGACTGCCGAAGTATCCCATGCCCCAATGGGCTGGTTGAAGTCTGAGGCAAACGCAAACATGTGGCTCATGTCAGTGATTGCCGATGTATCCCATGCCCCAACGGGCTGGTTGAAGGCAGAGGCACCAGAAAACATCCCATCCATGTTAGTGACTGCCGATGTATCCCATGCCCCAATGGGCTGGTTGAAGGCAGAGGCGCCCCGAAACATGGAGTTCATGGACGTCACGGCGGAAGTGTTCCATGCAGTGATGTTCGCATTGAAGGTCCTCATGTCATAAAACAAACGGCTCATGTCCATCACCTTGGACACGTCCCAGTCCTCGATCCTGCCGTAAGCGCTCTCAACCTCGGTGCGGGAATCTCCACCCCGGATCCACTGCCGCACCGTGGATTTGAGTTCGGAGCTGCTGCTGAAGCCGCGAAGGGAGCGGCAGTGCACCAAGTAGAGCACCAGGAGGCGAAGCTTCGGCATTCTGGGCTCAGCCTACGCTACAGAGCTACTTGCTTGCCAATCTTAAAAAAAAGGCTGCCCACACAAGCTCACCTCGAAAGCCTACACAGCTCATCTTTGGACCATCTTCGGGATTCCCCCTCCTGCTATGCCGCATGTACACGCCCCTTTAGAAAAATCAGTCTCTCATGCGCTGCTCAGTCGCAACCTGTGCCCCCCGGCCTCCCACTCTCTGGCGTCCGGTGATAGAGTGCGGGCAACTGCACACCTGCAACTGTAGGTGCGCAAGCATCATGTCTTTTTTGCATCCAGGGGCTGTGCAAACCCGAACACTGACGCAAAGTATTGCCCCGTGCTGCAAGCATCGTTTCCTAAGAGCTCACAGGGGTTCTACATATAGTCGAGTTCGCTGTGGGTTGTGGCCCACTGCAAGATTCCGGGTCCCTGATGGGGGATGGTGCCAGACGAGTTCCTTCGCGAGGAAAGGCCACTGCAGAACCTTCTCCAAAGCTGCTGCAGCTGGTGTGAATGTGCATGTTCCTCAGGCTCCCATTGCAGCACAAGCACCCCATGATCTCATGAGCCTACTTGAGGAGTTGGATCCTGCAGATTTCTCTTTGCAATTCCATGACATGGGCCGAGTTCACTCCTTTTGAAAGGTGGTGAGGCATCGCCTTCTCATCCCGGCCATGACAAGTTTTCGGAACCCTAGTGGGACCTACTTGATCATAGGGATGATGCAAAAGGAAGTGGAACCTACTACTATGTTATAAGAGTATATTACGGTATATTATAATACATTATAATAGTATACTATGGTCTATCCAAGTTTGGCCTTCTTTCAGAGAAGCAGGGGGGGTCCAGCAGTTTGGCTGTTGTGCTGCTGAGACTTTTTTGCAGAAAGGCCATTGCAAGGACCTAATGCTAGCGGCTAGCGCTGGAGTGTTACCATTCAGTTTACCTAAGAAATAGCTTGCCTTGCCTGAGAAGGCTTGCCTGAAGAGTCTCATCGGATGTAAGCAGGCGCAGGTTCCTACCTCACAAACCCTAAACCCTAAGCCTCAACCCTAAGCCCTAAAACCCTAAAACCTAAAACCCTAAAAGCCCTAAAACCTAAAACCCTAAAAGCCCTAAGACCCTACAAACTCCCTTAATAGCGTCTACCCTCCCGGCCCTGCAAATGAGCAGCCTATTGACGCCAACGTATCGTGGAACTCTGCCATGCCGGCCTTACCCCCGTTTAGGGTTTGAGGGTTTTAGGGTTTAGGGCTTTGGGGTTTTAGGTCTTTAGGGTCAAGGGTTTTAGGGCTTTGGGGCTTTAGGTCTTTAGGATTTAGGGTTTTAGGGCTTTGGGGTTTAGGGCTTTAGGGTTTTAGGGTTTAGGGCTTTAGGGTTTTAGGGTTTAGGGTTTAGGGTATCGACTAAACCTTTGGGTGAGGTGGAGCATCCACAGGGGCAGGGTACTGTAAGGACCAGTCGAACCATGTCTGAATCAAAGCACGTCGGCGCAAGAAAGGATGGGTTTAGGGCTTAGGGGCCATCGTCTGCCACCGCCTGTCCGTGGACAGGCAGTACCATATCCTCTGTCCTTGCTAGTAGGGAACAAAAGACTGGGTTGCCAGGACTACTTATATAGGGGGATCTATGCCTTTTGTCCCCTGCCAAATGAGAAGCCAATGTTTACCCTGTCGGGGATCTCACAACCATATGCGTTTCAGCAAGATGTGGATCGCCAGCAATACAAAACCTTCTTTGGCAAAGAGCTGGGGCTTTCATCCTACAGAAGGCCCCAGCAGGCGTTATCAAGGAGTTTTTCAGGTGCCCGAAGATGCACATCCCACTTCCACCTTTGTAAGAATATGTTTCAGTTTCTCCGAGAAGGGTGGCTTGGGCCCATGAGCGCCAGACAAATCATGCTTGGGGTCTGAACTGTGCCTGTCTTACTTTTTTGTGTACACTCCTCCCATAAACCCTCCCGGCGCTTTCAAAAGCCTGACCCGGCAACAGCTTGAACCCCGCAAATTATCATGACAGTGACACATGTCGTGGTGTCTACGTAGCTTCAATCACGATTCAATTCAACAACATGCAGCATGTTGCTCTTCCACTGCGATCCGCCAAGGAATTCAACTGAGGGAGTGGCGTCATCTGGAGTGGGATCGAGATCTCCCAATACAGCAGAGGGCCTTTCGATCGTCATGAGAACCAGCCCTAGTGAAGGAAGGAACTGACATGGTAGGTAGTCAAAATTATGGTCCCTCTTGGGGTCCTCATTACAATGCGGCCCCTAGTATCCCCAATATGTATAGGATATCCTAATAGGGAACTAGAAGTTTGACCGCCTACAATGTGGGTGATCATCAAAATTATGGTCCCTTTTTGGGTACCCTAAATATTAGGTGCTGTACTATAATAGGGATCCAAAAAGGAACCATAATTCTGACAACCACCCATGTGGGATGATTTAGCGGAGGCGCTGGCGGGAGCTGAGCCGGCAGAGCCATGGCTGTCTACATGTCTGCGTTTACCCTAGGGAGAATGGAAAAGAAAATGGAAGCTACGATAATAGGTTATATAGGGAGTATGTAGGGCTTTGTAAGGATTACATAGGGATAACGGAAAAATCGAAACTACTATAAATGGGTTCTATAGGGTGATATATAGGGGTTATATAGAGACAATGGACAAGAACATGGAAACTACTGCAATGGGTGACATAGGGTTTAGCGTTTGGGGTTTCGCCTTCTGTTGAACTTCCCTCATGCATCCAATATGGCATTACTTGCTATGCCACAGCAATCTGACCCGTTCTTGCAGGCTAGTTGGGCCGGAAAGTAATTTCGCGTATTGAAGAGGCAGGCTCAAAACCGCCGTTTCAACACTGCGCAATCTGGAGGCCTACTGATCATGCGCGGGCCAACATTTGCTGCTACTTGTCTGCAAGAATAGAATAGAAAACAGCATGCTTCTGAACAGTGTGAGGGGGGGGGGGGGACAGGTATTCATGTCCCCAACGTGCAGCTGAGCAAAATAGGAGGCCGGCCACTGGCCACTGGCTCCAACTGCCCACATTCCAGGGAAAGGATGCGCAGGAAGTGTGCGAATGTGTGCGACTTCACATGTTGTCCAACAGAATTGAGGGATTTCTGCGCGGTGAAATTTAAGGGAGGATCACCGTGGCAGGTCTAACCTAGGGCTGAGCTTTCAAATCTGCAAACACGAAGGGCTCCCATGTAGAAGTGATCTTTGGGCGTTTCATGCTGTAGAACGTCCCATGTCCATGCGTGATTCACAGCAACTCCCCAAGCTCATGGTGCTCAACGGTGAGACCTACCAATGCTTCAACTGATTTATCAACTGGCTTCAGATGGCAATGGTAAGATATTCTTGGTGTCTCGACGTCGTGGATGGCTTTTCAACCACTTTCGGGTCCCCCCCTTAAGCCAAAACCCTAAACTCCAAAACCCT